ACCCTCAAAGTGAGAGGGGTTCAGAGCTGGCTGGCTGGATGGAGTGGAGCCGGTGTAGCTGGTGTTACCACACGCAGGGGAACTGAGGAAGTGGCTTTGTGGGGAAAATGGAGGGCACTTAAACTTCCACAGTAGGTGGGAGTTTCGCAGACTGGAAAGAGCATGCCCTTAGACGTAGACGCCCTGGGTTCAAATCCCAGCTCTACCACTTACCAGTGGTGTAACTCAGCTGTTCTGCATGAAATACTCACAAGGGTCTGCCTGACAGGTTTTACCTTGAGCAGGAAAGCAGACTCAGGAGTGGAGCCTGTGCTTGCAGATGAACACATGGGAGATTTCCAAAGAGATTTGTGGACTACTTATTAAGAGAGGTGATCTTCTGGGTAGAACTGTGCCAGCAATGTCAATGCCCTAAGAAAGTCAAGGTGATTGAATTTCGCCTCTTGGATCCCCTGCGCCCGCTGGGGAGGAGAAAGTCTTCTTTCCTCCTCCAAACTCCTTTGACATGTCCTTTGACATGACAGACGGAGCTTCCAAATCAAGATTGTGACTTGGGCTTTTTCAGGTGGGGGTCATATGTATGGGCAGCTGGCACCAGAGGGCCACTGGGTGCCTGTTGGTTTCCCTTTATTTCCTTTCCAACTGATGTGGGGTGGCTAGGCTAGGGAATGAGTGATGTACTTGGCTGCTGGGGTGCACGCCACAGTTTGGCCACTTAACATGATTTGTGGGTTGGAACAAGTGCTGTGACCACAACTGGACACCTGCTTCCCCATCCGAAAATGGGGATAATATAGTACTTCCCCGTAAGGAGCCTTGCCCAGAACCTGCACACTCTATGTGCCTGTGATATGCTGGCTGCCCCAATTAGAAATCCAGAGTCCTAAGTTAATGGGAGGACTCTACAATATCTTCAAAGTTTGTGGCATCTTTAACTGGGGATGGGATAGGAGGAAGGCCTCCCTTTCTCAAGGGTAATGTCTTCATACTGGCTCTACATGAACATGATTATTTATAATCCATGTAGGCGGTTATATAGTACTTCTAGACCATAAATCACCTGGAGAGCTTCTTGTGAAACTGCACATTCTGGTTTAAGGCTGGGGTTGGGGCCTTAGATTTCTGCATTTCTGTCAAGTTCCAGGTATTCCCCAGGCTGCTGCTCTGAGGACCAAGCAAAGGTGAGAATCAGCTTGATGATTGGGGAGCCTGATTTTGGTGACACTCAGGCCCTTATCTATGGTGACAGTATAGAGAAAACAAACATTGTGTTGTTGAGAGTACAAGGGAATATTTGGGGGAGATGTTTGAGGTAGCTGCAGGGTTTCTCTATAACTTTGAGGATAATGAGAGAAAAAGCAGATGGCATCTTTTTAGTGGCTTGTCCTGAACTCCAGGCCACCAGAATGCTTCTATCTCTTGGGATCAGCTTGGCGAACAGCCAGCTGAATTAACTTCAGAAAAGAATTGCTCATGGGCTGGCCTACAGCACAGTCTCGCTGGACAGTGGCCTAGGTACAGGGCAGTTCTGGGCTGCGGAGGAAGCCACGATGTTCTGTAAACAGAGATACAAGCACATTCTCCAGTGTGCTGCCCCGTGAGTGTCATGCACATGTGCACACGCACGCCCCTTATCTCTTGCTTCATTTTCCGTTGCGCAGGATTTGGGAAAAACCTCCTCATTTAGCCAGCTGATTAGAAGTTTGAACAAGAGGGTTGTTATCTGGGTTTGAATCAGCCATTATTGTTAGAACCATTGAGTACCTTGGGTTTGGAAGGAAATAATAATTCAGCAGGTCCTTTGGCTTTAGATTTTGGAGTGAATTTTGTCTCTCTTAGTCTTGGCTTCAGGCAAGGGGAAAGCATTGCCTGGGAATTAAGCTCTCCAGGGTCCCTTCCTGCTTGGATAACCTACAAGTCTGTGTCTGTGAGTTTGGAGCAATGGTACTATATGAAATTTCCAGAGTTTCGGTTCCAGTTTGGAGGGCATAATAGAGGAAGAGCCTGTTGTTTCTTGCAGCCATTTCCTTTCCCTTGTATGTGATGAATTCTCACTCTTGTTTATTTTTTTATGTAATTTTTTTTTTATAAAATGAATTACAAGTGGCAATTATTCACTGTGCAGATGTAAATTTGAAGTTGGTGGGAATTTTTGGATCCAGCCCTGTGGCCCTGGGGTTTTCGAGTGGAGGAGGTATTTTATGCTCTCGGCTCTCAGAACCTGACCTGTGGAAAGCTGAGGATGTTTGGGCAGTCAGACAGGGCAAACTGCTAATTCTTCTCACCTGTGAAAACAACCAGCATTACAGAGCGCAATCCTCGACTTGCCCTGGTGGCTCTAAAGCTCAGCCCCAGAAGCAGAGGGGGAAATTGATCCCTTAATGTGGCTTTCTTCTCACTGGAGTTTTGTTGTGTATGTCATCATGCATTGGAGCAAGAGCAGCCAGGCACCCACCAAACTGCCCCTGTATGGGTGAGGGAGGCGGTGTGGTCTGTTTGAGAAAGTGCTTGCCTACGTTTCCCAAAGGTTGTGAGTTCTAACTCTGCTTCCGCTTGGGAGTTCTGCAGGTATGGCCAGTGAGAACCTGGAGGGGAACTTCCCAGGGCATTATTCAAGGGCCAGAGGGCAGCTTGGGTGTCCTCACTGTGAGGGGCCTGGCTCCTCTCATACCCCAGCAGGGCATCTTCTTTGAGGAGTCAAGTACAGACCCTCCAAGACTTACCTGGAAGGAGACATCCCAGTGAGGGATGGAGCTCCCTAGCTTCGTGTCCTCAGAGATCCTTCAGGTTCTGAGTGTTGAGCTAGGAACAGGAGGATTTAAGATAGGCCCCACATGCCTTCCCATGGACCCTGACACCTTATTTCTGGGCCAGGTCAGTGACGAATGTCCCTTGTGATAGCTGCAGCTTTTGATGAAGGTGGCTTTGGGAACAGAGTGAGGGGAAACTGGGTGGCCTTTCCGCATCCCCAGAGAGGCCATCTAGGATCATTCTAACCTCTGCTAGACATTTTCCCCACAGATACATAATGGATTGTTCATTCTATTCCAAGGCATGCAGGAGATGAGAAACGTCATAATGTGCTTCATGCCCTGGTGAAGCGAATTGCGTCTACTCTCCTGGCTGCTGGAGATAGGGAACAGCTCATGCTCTCTTGAAGCAGTTGCTTGGAATTTTCTACTCTTTGAACATTACTGTGAATTTCATTTAAAGTCTCATTGTCCAAGACCTTTTCCAAATGGCTCACAGCTCAGTACAAAGCATACCCGATTAGTGTTTTTTAGTATTCTTCCTTGTAGATCTTCAGTTGACTGTTTTCTGAAAACAATGTGTAAAGCTGTAGGTCAAACTTGTTTTTGTGTCATCTGAAGGGGAACTAACTGTTGCTTCCCCCGTGTTCTGCACCCACACAGGCCCAACCTCTTCCATCTTCTTGGTGGGTCTTGCTCTTTTCCTCTAGCCAAGGGAGGCCCTGCTGGCTATGGCCCACCCCGGGCAGTGTTTCAGTTTGAGATGGAGAATGCAGAGCTTCATTCTTGTCCTTGTTTGCATGCAAACTATTCTATTTCTGTTCTGTATTGGGAGAGAGTTTATAATCCACACTGCTGCTGTTTTCTCTTATTTCCCCCTAAATGTCCATGTTGTATATGCGTGATGGGGGGTGGTGGCGAGAGGCACGGAGAAGGGGGGAGGACAGAAGAGAAATGGCATCTCTTAATTTTCTATTTCCTGTTGAAATCAACACAGAACATTGTCCATATCATATACAATTAAATGAATTATCACAAATTTGTGGGAACACATTGAGGTTGAAAAACAGAACATTGTTTGCACCTTTGGAAACCCCTCCAATTACAATCCCCCTTTCTCCTCTCCAGAGGTAGCCGTTACACTGACCTCTAACACCATGGTTAAACTTCATCTGCTTTGGAACTTCAGGCAAATGCAATAAGACACTATGCTGTTGTGTCTGGCATCTTTTCCTCAGGGTTAGGTTTGTGAGATTCATCTATGTGGTTGCCCTCGGATGTTGTTCATTGATTTTCATGACTGTGTAGAATTCTATTGCTATCATACCATGGCTTATTGTTTATGCAGCCCCATATTAACATGCCTTTGGGTTTCTTTTTGTTTTCAGCTGTTGCATATTCGGCTGTGAACATTTTGTACATTTCCTGGTAGATGTATGTATGCATTTCTATTGAGTAATTCCTAAAAATGGAATTACTGGGTCATAGGATAGACACATGTTCAGCTTTATTAGAAACTGTTGAATAGTTTTCTAAAGTGGCTTTAACAGTTTATACTCCTACCAGCAGCGTGTGAAGGTTCCAACTGCTCTGTGTCCTTGGCATTTTCAGTCTTTTTGGTTTTAGCCTTCTAGTTTGTGTGACATGGTCTCTCA